CCCCCCCCCCTTTTGCCCAAGTCCAAACAAATGAGGTGCAAATTTCACTCACATACCCATGAACTGAAATCCCCTCAGTTAAAAGTTTAATACCTATGGTTCAAAGGTGAGAAGATCTTATTGCTTTAGCTATTCATGAACATGCATTTTATAACTGTCAACTTCAAGAAAATATGTGGCCAGCTTATATTATTTGGCTCCATTTCCCCCCACCGCAGCTTTTTAGAGGCTTTTATTTGCAACCGTTCTCATTGTTACTGTTGCATTATTATGGAATTATTATTATTATTATTATTATTATTATTATTATTTCCAGCAACAACAGTCGCCACTAGTCACATTCAGAGTCTATGTATCCCCCCCATTTCCTCTCCTCTTTTTCTCTTTTCTTTGCAATTATATTTTGGAAAGTCCATTAATTGTATAAAAAAAGAATCCATTCAGTTAATCACCCAATGCTTTATTTAATTAGTTTCCAGTTAACCATGAGCACATGTGCACCTCTACTCAGAAGCAAGCCCCATTGAGTTCAAAGGGAGTTGCTCCCAAGTCAAAATGTCTGGGATTCCCGCTCAGCGCTTGCTGCAGCCGCGAAGTGTGAGTTTGGTTTGAGAAGAGCTGCCATGCAAGGAGCTGGTAGCTTCTCTTGTCTCTTCGTAGCTGATCAAAGTCCATAAATGTTTTTCTGGAGCACCTCACTGGCAGCAAATTAATCTGCTTGGCTTGCATACGGAGCAGCTGTCTTGTAGCAGGAAATGTTTGCAGCAGCGATGGCTGTCTCTGCGTGAGCCACGCTTCTGTGGTTTTGCATGCAAGAGGCGGAGATGCCGGTCTTCATGCCAGGCAGACACCTCCCCAGGAATTTAGGGATTTGTTTGCAGCAAAAGTCCTGGCTTTCTTTCACAAAGGCAGAACAAGGCACATTATCTAATACGCAAGGATGCATTTTTCTTGGTGTCTTAGGTTGCAGCCACTCTCTCTCTCTCTCTCTTTCTTTGGTCCTTCTTTCCACAACACTTCCAAAAACAGGCCAAGTTCTTCATCAATAGTTTGAGTTCATGTTTGGATGGGACCAGGATGACCAGATGTCCTCCTTTTCCAGGCCATGCCCTACATTTCAACCTTTTGTCCAGGAGGAATTTCCATATGTCCTCCATTTTCAGCATGACAATGAATTTATGTTTATATTAGTATTTTTAGATTTTATTTTATAATGCCCTACATTTTTCTTGAATGTCTTATATTTTTTTGGTGCCTTGTCCAGTGTTGAGGTGAGGATATTTGGTCAATATGGATGGGACGCTTCTTCTGAGAGTCTGTTTTCTCCAAAATGGCTGCATCCTCACTGCAGGAATAATCCAGACTTCTGGGAACTGCAGTTTTGTGAGACATTTAACTTTCTCTTTCAAGAAAGCTCTGGTGCCACAACAAACTAGAAATCCCATAATTCCATAGCATTGAGCCATGGAAGTTGAAAGTGGCGTCAAACTGGATTATTTCTGCAGTCCAGATACAGCCAATGTCACCCTGTAATGTTCTCCAATTTTTAGACATAGGGTAAACAACGAAGTTACTTCTGCTACTTCCATGCAGAAAGATCAGGGCTGGGGAGGGAAGAAGAAGAAGAAAGATGGTAGCAAGAATATATCCCTAATGGGTCCTGATTTCTCTGTGCCCAGCAGTGGCTTCCATGTTACGGATGAGAACATTTGCAATTATTCTCCTTGTTCCTAAACACAATGCAACCAATGTGTTTCTCCTGATGGAAACTCTGGCTCCACAGAAGTGTTTTGCTGCCCTGGTTTCAATACCAGAATGAATGTGTCACTTTTCTTGCAATGAATATAGATGGAAATGTTTGGAAAATGGTCTCTGTTGCCAAGGCCCTGCAGCCGATAGCAATCCTTATGGAAACAAGGGGACCGTTCTGGGCCAGGAACTCGGTCATGAGATGGTTTCCACCAATTGCAACCTCCATTGGAGTATGTGTCATTCCCTGATTAATGTTAATTCACTCAGTGTATTCAACCATTTAATCTATGGATTCAGGTCATTCAGCTCAGCATAGTCACACAAACACATACACACACTCACACATGGCTGTCCAGCAATATCTCTTCGCTGCCTGTAGACAACAAAACAATCTGGCATAACTTTGCTGTTGGAGGAGGGAAAGCAAAGGGTGAAGCCATTTTTGCTGTTGGTATTTTCTTTCTAGGTTATGCATGAGAGTGGGATGCTTGTATGTGTGTGTGTGTGTGTATGTTGTAACAATTGCTTATTTGGTTTTGTAAACAGACTACAATGAAAACAGAATGACTCTGCAAAGAAACTGCCTCTCACAACCCAGATGAACA